AATATCGATTGACATCATGTCAAATTCCCCACCAGCCTTCAATGTTGCTGCCAATGTAGCTAAAGTATCTACCATTTGATTCTCTTCTCTTGGTACGTAATGGAAAGTGACCTCATCAAATTATTTAAGTAGATTCATAATGAGCTTTTTGTATTCCACCAGTTTGGTATCTTTTGTTTCCCACTCTCCTTGGAGCTGATAGATCACTAAGGCAGAATCTACATACACCCTCAAAGTCTTTATGTTTTGTTCAATAGCAGCTCGAATCCCTAAAACAAAAGCTTCATACTCTACCATGTTGTTAGTGCAATCAAAGTTCAATTTGCTAGTGAACGAATAATGATTGCCTTTGGGTGAGACTAAAATAGCTCTAATGTCGTGCCCTAATGCATTTGATGCACCATCGAAATGCATTTTCCAGGAGTTACATGTAGAAGTACTTGCTTCTTCTAAAGATATGACCATCAAGTCTTCATCTAGGAAGTCGAAGTCTAATGGTTCATAGTTTTCATACGTTCTTCTTGCTAAGAATTCAGATATGACACTCTTTATAGCCTTTTGCCTCACGTATTCAATGTCAAATTCATATAGTAACATTTGCCATCGGGCTAACCTTCAAGAGAGAGCAGCCAAACCCATCATATAACATGTATTTTTTTGAATTTTAGTGGATCTAACTTGGAAATTAACCAGTTAGTGAACTTCTTGCTCAGGTAGTAAATGATTCTCTATTTTCTTCTAAATTTATCATGTTGCCCCAGGATACATCCCATTAAATTCTCAAATATGGATAGATAAAGGAACAAAGGTTTTCCTGGGATGAGAGACATTAAATCAGGAGTACGAGACAAATACTCTTTTATTTTCTCAAATACAGTATGGCAGTCATCATCTCATGTTCCAGAATTATTTTTTTCGAAGAATAAGGAAAATTGGATCATATTTTTCTGTCAACTGGGATATAAACCGAGCAATATAATTTAATTTACCCAGAAAACCTTGAACTTATTTTTGTGTTCGTGGGGGAGGTAGATTCTGGATAGCTTTGACTTTATCAGGATCATCCTCAATGCATTTATGCTAACAATGAAGCCCAACAGCTTACCAGATGTTACTTCGAAGGTGCATTTGTTTGGGTTCAGCTTCAATTGAAACTTTCTCAATCTTTGGAAGAGTTTCCTTAGGTTCTCAATATGCTCATCTTCAGTTTGTGCTTTGACAATCATGTCATCAACATAAACTTCAATCTACTTATGCATCATGTCATGAAAAAGGTCACCATGGCTCTTTGGTATGTTGCCCCACATTCTTTAACCGAAGGACATCACCTTGTAACAAAATATTCCCCACATTGTGATGAATGTGTGATAACTCTATAAAAGTACTCTATTTCTAGTCTTTTTACTAAAGTTATTGCTCGTCTAAATAAAGTATGAACAACATATTAGTTGCATCTAGTTGCATTTAGGTTATATTTGCTTGTGGTGGATAAGTGTTGTTTCAGCAACATTTATTTGGTTTGACTGATGTTGCCGATGAGAAAGGGCTTGTGTGGATTGTGTATGTGCAGGAAATTTCCTAAGGAAGAACATTTTATTCGCGACAAAGTATTTCACAAGGGCTAGTGGAATAGAGAAAATAAAGATAGTGAGGAGCAGATTTATCTCGCCAAGGCAAGATTTATCTTGAGAGTCTGAAGCGGATATGACGAAATTGCCTATGTCACATGCCAGTTGTACGACTACCCTCACGTGCAAGAAAGCCCTCAAGATTCTAACAACAACCAACCGTCTTTCCTTTTTTAGCTTGGACAAGATAATAACGGGTATTTAGGGAATCTTCACTTACGTGAAACCCTAGGAGATTTCCCTTTATAAATACCCAGCCACAGCCACAAAAAAGATTAGGAAAGGAAGTTAGAATAGCTTTAACTGAAGTGTGAGCGAGCAACTGCAGTGCTTCCTCACCGTTTTCCGACCGACCGTCCTTGGTGTCCTCCATAGCCAAGCTGTAGCAGAGCGACGGTCAAGCCTCGAGAGAGGCTGGCCGCCAGGGCAGGTGCGATGTTGATCAGAATTGTCACGATAGAGCCCTCAATTTTGGGAGTCGTTCTTCCTTTGTTCTTAATTTCCTTACGTTATAAAGTTGAACCCCTTTTTGAAAAAAAAACTCAAAATGAACGTTATAAAGCTAAACCCAGCCTGACATGTTCATAAGATCAAACTCAAGCTTCTTCAAATTAGGTTCCCACTTCCTAAGGAAATTTGGTTTGTTTTGAACATGCCATGGGCCGTTTTCTAACACCTATTCCTTAGCAATCACATTTACAAATGAGAAAAACGTAAAGATTCGAGCCATCCAAGCTAACCTGAACAGGCGATGTCTTCCCCCTGAGCAAATCTATTAGTTTCTACAAAGAGCTGAAATTCGACGTCAAACCAAGAAATTGCCTAACCAAAGCGTAACGCTACTCGGAAATTCCCTCCTCAAAAAATCAATCGTAGGTTTAACCGTGACATAATCGCCATTTACCAGTGGAGGAAAAAACTCCAAATTCTAATCATCAACATATGTAAACAAGTTTCTCCAATCAACAACAACACCACACGAGCCAGCAGACATAACCAACAACCAAAATCAAAGAAATAATCAGAGAACAAATCGAAAAAGAATGGACCACAAAGCTTCAATCCCCATTAGTCCCCATTAGACAGACATGTTATAATTCTATATTTTTATATAATTTGTGACTAAAAATAAATTCTACAATTACTTTGTAAATTATTACATTGAAATATGAATTTGTTGAATAGTAGGTAGGTTGAAAATATATATTTATCATATTTTAAATTTTCCATAGTTTGAATAATAATGAATAAGAACATGTGATTTTATTGACGTTATAAATCGTACGATTCAAGTTATTTTAATTATAATTTTGAACTTTTAAAATACTTTATATTTACATATAATGTTGATAAGATGGTGAGGTTTTTATTTGGTTAACGAAAATGGGTTGGTGAGGGGTGACCATCCAAATCTTGCTTCTACTTTATATTTCATTCAATCATTCCATTTGTTCAATGAAAATGGGTTGGTGAGGTTTTTATATTTTATCCAAATTTTCCTTATTCTAGATTATAGGAGTTTTTTTAACGAAACCTATATATTCTGTCTTATTTTGTATTTGTTACTTTTTAATAACATATGAAATATTTTTTATTTCAAACAAATATTTTTTTATAAAATTTAATCTAAAATAATCGATTAATAAATCATATATCAATAATGTTAAAAATACATGTGAATGAATCTTTTATTTTTGAAAAAGGCCAAAGAGGAAAGTAGGAGGAATTTCAACGTACGTGGTCCTAAAATAAAATCAAAATTGTAGGACTATTTCCTATAAATAAATAAATTTAAAAATTAGAAATCAAAATTGTAAGACTGTTGTGGACTTTTAGATCTTGACCGACTTTTCCTCGTTTGTTCCTTTTGAATGCTGGACCGACGTCTCATTATTTCTTGAGATCAAATCTATGGTTCCGTTCAAACTAAATTATTTATTTTGTGTTACCCGACTCAGTCTCATGTTTTTCTCCAATTCTCCTGTACGGTCTATATATAATAACATATATAAACAATATTCACTTGATTATTTATTGATTTAACTTTATATATATATATATATTGTTTAAAGGTGACTATAAAATAGTATATGTTTTAAAAAAATTATTATTTGATAATGAAAATTCAAATATCATTACAATCTTTAGAATAACAATCATTTTTTTAATTACTAAGATAACTTTATTCATGCGAAAATATTTCTGTTTATACACAGGGTGTGATAAAAATATATATTACAATAGACTAATATATAATATAATTGACGTTATAAAATTCTCACTTGTTTTTAAAAGTTCGGGTAAATACATATTTAGTATCTAAACAATAGTTTTTTGTATATTTTGGTACCTAAACTTTATCTTTTTCAAAACTATATCTAACGTTTAGTTTATGCTTTATTCTGGTGTCTCGTTGTTGAAACTTAATGGTGATGTTGACGTGTTACCATAAGGTAATGTCAAGTCATCATTGAAAAAAATTAAAAAAAATATCACATCAATATTTTTAACGCTTGATACAAAATTAAAACCAAAACTAAATGTTTAGTTTTAAAAAAAATAAAATTTAGTTACCAAAACAGAACAAAAGTAATAATTTAGATATAAAACATGTAATTTGCACTAAATTTTTTTAACTTTTTTTAATTTAATTTTTTCTTCATTAATTAGAAAATTAACATAACTAACCTTTGATTATTAACAAAAAAAACCAAATAAAAATATATTTTGAGCGTTTATCTGAAACATAAAAATTAATTTTGATTATATAAACTAAGAGATACGGTGAGACAATCGACGGTTCTCATACTCTACATTAAAATAGTATTGTAGAATAGTTGAATAAAACTATAATGGAGAGTTTGATGCATTCTTTCTAATGCTCGACCTTTCTTATATTCACTGCTACGCAATTTGGTTATGGATATTTTCCATCTCCATCAAACAAGTCAAATTTATTAAATGAAAAATAAAATCAAAACTGTACCATAAAATAATATATCAACATAGACAGCCGCAGCCACTCCATCCCCATCATGCTGATCAAACCCAATCCAACGGTTCTAATCACAAGTTAAAAATTTAAACCCTAAAGATCTAGACCGTCCAATTTCATTAGGGGCTTGTCTAGTTGTGTATTGCATTTATTGCCTTGTCATCTACGTGTTCTATTGATGACAACTGTACTTAATATTAAATAATATCCAATTACATAAAAACAATAGAAAAGAACAATTCTTTCCTTCCATTATTGCTCTATATATAACTGTCTTGAGGCTCCACATTCAACTGAAATCTTTCTGGTTTTTTCTCCAATTTCTTTTCACATTTGATTTCCAAGATTCTTGATGGATCGTGGAGAGAAAAGATTGCTCGCTTAAATCGATTCGAAACGATTGATCCAACATCATGAATTTTTGTGTCTCGAGTTTGAATTGTTTCTCTTCTTCCTCTTTTTCCTCTTCATCAGAAAATTTTTCGAATCATAACGATCGAGGTATGCAAGTAGTATAGATTTTTGCATCCAAAGGACTAGATTTTTTTTTATTTACATCATTTTCTTTATGTTTTTCATCCTTTTCTTCTCTCAGAGTTTGATATATATATATATATACACACACACATGTGTATAGTTAATATATATCTATAATGTAAACTCTAAACCTTAAATCTTAAACTCTAAATCTTAAACCCTATAGCATATACAATATATCATTTTCACCCTTATCGTATTTTCGCATCAATTTAACCATTGAAGTTGTTCAATTGCATCATTCTATATCATATCCCTAACTTAAACCTTAAATTATAAATCTTAAACTCTAAATCATATATCCATAACATCTAAATCATAAACTCTAACCCTAAACCCTACCTTAAAGTTTATAATTTAGGGTTTTAAGTTAGGGGTAAGATATATAATGATGTAATTAAACAACTTTGATGGTTAAATTGATGCGAAAAAACGATAGGGACGAAAATAATAAATTTGGTCCACCACAAGGACAAATGTGACTTGAGCCAATATTAATCAAATTAAGCTTAATCGATACATATTTTATAAGTTTAAACCATTAAGACTAAGGAGTGATGAAATTAGGAAAAGAGAAAGAGGAAAGCAACGTGCTCATCAATTGTCCAAGGGGAATGAATATAGGCTGTTTTTAGTAGTAATAAATTCAAACAAAATTAAATGAAATTTTAAAAAAATTATACTATTAGCTTTTTAAAGTATCGTTATCTTTAAGTTGACCATCTTACAACCATTCATACATATCATGGGTCACTATCATGATTAGATAATGGAAGAGAGATGATTGTTTAATCTGTGGAGCTTCAATATAATATGATTTTATAAGATTATTTTTTCAAAAAAGAATTCAGTTTGAGTTGGACCGAATTTTGTAGGGCGAAAGTTTAACTCGAATCAAATTTAAATTTAAATTGATTTTTTTATTTATAATTTTATTTTATTTATTTAGAGATAATTGTTATAATATGTATATCTTTATAATTTTCTTTATTTATATTTCTATTTTACTAAATAAAAGTATAATTTTATATATATTTATATCGAGTATAGTCAAATCAGATGTAGATTTTTATCTAAAAATTTGAATTGTATTTCAAATCGGATGTACACTCTTTAAATTCAGATCAAATCCAGACAAATGAATTATACTTCTTGAACATGTTAGATTGATCGAAAACTTAACTCATTTTCATCTTGTCCAACTTTAAAATTAATAAAAACGATAAATATTTAATCTTAAAATTTGATAGAAATCTGGACTTAATTTTATAAAGATTTAAATTAATAAAAATTAAAATTCTTTTAAAAAAATGTCAATATACTTTTTAATAAAAAAGGTCCTTATCGTAAAAAAAATTCTTTATTCATTTGTGGTTAGTTAGGAGTTTAACTATTAAATGAAATGACAGATTCACAAACACTTTGGAATATTCATGCATTCTCGTATGATGAATTGAAAGTTGCAACCGATGGATTTCGACCTTCCAATAAAATTGGTGAAGGTGGATTTGGTATTGTCTATAAGGTACTTTTTCTTTCTTTTTAGGGTAAATTACATATTTAGTATCTAAATTATATGTTTTCATCTATTTTAGTATTTAAACTTTTAATTTTTTCAAAATCATACATAAAATTTAGTTTTTTGTTTCATTTAGTACACTTGTTCAAAATTTAACGTTAAATTTTGAAAAATATTGAATGATTAGGTACTAAAACAAACCAAAATTGATAGTTTAGATACTGAACATGTTAAGTTTTTAACAAACATGCACTAAAATGAGACAAAACTAAATATTAGGTTTGATTTTGAGGAAAAAATTAAAAGTATAGGTATTAAAATATATCAAAACTGATAGTTTAAGTACTAAACACATAGTTTACCCTTCTTTTTAATATATATTTTCATTTAAGATTTATACTTATTAAATCAAAATAATATCATGATCGAAATTAGATCTCAATTCAATTTCAAGTAACTCATTTTCATTATAAAAATATATTTATGAATACACGATAATTAAAAGGTAAAGTACACTAAAAATGAATGAGTTATGCTCAAATAATCATTTTAATCACTAATTTTTAAAAATTTAATGATCAAAATGAGTATTTAAACATAATTTAGTGACTTTTAGTATGTTTTTCCCTAATTGAAAAAATATACTATCGTACTATTTATTTTACATGATAATTTAAAAAACCCAGGTTCATGCATTGACTTTACGTTATAATTAGGTGGATATAATTTATTACAAGGTTGTTTAGCTACAAATAATAATAATCACTATAAGTTTCATTAATGAATATTTTAAAGTAGCATTATTATAATTTTGAGTGGTTTAAGGGGAAAAAATTAGAATTAATGATGATGATTTTTATCCTTATTTAAAAACAATTCATTCTAATTTAGAAAAAAAAAATGATGGTACGAATCAAATGATCTTCGTGGTAAAATTATTATCATTCCTTGAGAATCTAAATTCAGCACCAGGAATGCCAGAGGTGTGAATCTTCAATGTCAAAAGGTTGAGTGTTATCTTAGAACATATATTATCAATGTACTTAAACTAGATTAATAAATTAAAAAAACAATGAGAGAAATTATAAAAGAGATGTGTATTAATTTTGAAGCATATTTTTTTTAAAGTTCAATTTTATTTTTTTCTTATTTTGAACTCTATCACACAATAAATCAATAAATAAACAAAAAATTACGTTTTAATTTAATTTTTTTATCCTTCTTATCAGACACATGGATATGTCATTTTCATGTTAAATGCGATGATTTTAGTAGTGCAAGAAAAAGTTATTAGAGCCGCCATGGTGGGGCTCCAACCGAGTTCAATCTTAAGACATCATCAAATTTTGTCTGCTCTTGTCTTCCAAATAAAATAAAATAAAAACATTGTTTTTTTGGGGAGCTAACATTGTGTTTGGTTGGGAACATAAAGGGAAGGCTGAAAGATGGAAGAAGAGTAGCTGTGAAAGCTTTATCAGTAGAATCAAAGCAAGGCAACAGGGAGTTCATGTCCGAAATATCCTCCATTTCAAACATCACCCATCAAAACCTTGTTAAACTCCATGGCGGCTCCATCGATGGACCCTCTAAGTTTCTTGTTTATGATTACATGGAGAACAACAGTCTTGCTTATATCTTACTCGGTATTCTTCTCCTTCTCTTACACATATCTTTAATCAGGACACGGAGTTAAACATTAATTAATAGAAAGGTTTAAAATCGTTTAATTTTAAAATAAGAATAGATGTAAGTCCGATCAAGTTTTGGTTCACTTGAACTTGACCCAAGTATAACACTCGTCACCTAACCTGACCTAGCATTAAGAAAGTTCCACTTTGCCTTAAATCCAACTCAATTTTTGAGTAAAAACTCGTATCTAACTCGACACAAATATATTATATGTAAACTCTTATTTTTTATTAGGTAAAATAAGAATCTAATTTAGAAAATATAGAGAGGTGTGTATTATAACAATTAACTCTAAAATATATAAATAAATTATATTGTTATTCTTTGATCAAGTATGTTTCACACTAAACCCTATATTCAAACAGACCAGAACATATCTTACGTACCCTTCAAAAAAGATGAAGTGATTCAAACCTAAATTTTCAACTACAAAAAATGACATTATAAGATCGAATCGAATACTTTTCACCATAAACTCAAACAATTCAACCTTACTCTTCAAAAAACTTGACCCGGGTCGTATCTAAATTTTCAACAATAGAAAAGAACCCAACTCTACAAGGTTAAGTCGAGCCAAAATCCTTTAGATTTAGATCAAATGCTCTTTCCTATTTTAATGTTAATAGACTTGAGAAATATTTAAATTTAAATTTAAGATGGATAATATTTAATTTGATAAATATTTAAACTAGTAGAATCAAAACATTAAAAAAAATAGGGGTAATGGTCTCTTCTATATCTTTAATAACCTTGTGCCTGTATATATATTGATAATTTTTTTATGATTTATACTCGATATTATTATATGACAGGAGGAGAGGAAAACAGGGCAAAGCTAAGTTGGAAAGTAAGGAAAGAAATAGCATTAGGGATAGGTCGCGCACTTGCCTACATTCACGAGGAGGTGAAGCCACACATCGTCCATCGAGATATCAAGCTTAGTAACATCCTTCTCGATCAAAATTTCACCCCTAAACTTTCCGATTTCGGTCTTTCTCGTCTCTTCTTCGATAATGTCACTCACCTCAGTACCGGAGTCGCCGGTACATTGTAAGTTAATATCTCTTCTCTTCATTTTTTTTCCCGGATCACGATTTTAAAAAATAGCTCTATCAACTATACAATTATCTAACTGTTTTTTTGGAATCGAAGAGGTTATCTTGCTCCGGAATACGCCGTGAGCGGACATTTGACACGGAAATCAGATGTTTATAGTTTCGGAATTCTATTACTCGAGATTGTGAGTGGTCGGACTGCCATCGATTTCGATCTCCAAATTGGCGAGTTCTTTCTAGTCCAGAAGGTATATGCATTCTTTATTTATTTTTTTCACATCTTGCATCTTTGTTTAGAAGAAGACAACATAGAAAAACATGTTTCCATTAATGTAATAATACAACCGAACTTTACCTGCCCACTGTCCAACTTTGACGGTCGAATTTTATAATTGTTGATTGACTTTTCTTCTCAATAAAGTAGCTTTTGACAATTCTATCCTACATCCACAAATATAGTTTGATATTAAAATTTAATATCGATATATGATTTACTAAACACAATTAATTTAAATTAGATATTCTAAAAGTTTATTATAAAATAAAATTTAGTCTTTTTATTTAAAACATCATTATTCAAATATCTAATCTTAACCAACTTAATATCTTATCTTATCTTATGATTTGATTTATTTTACGAAGGCTTGGGAGATGTACAAATCAAACAAGTTGGTGCAGTTGGTGGATTCGGTGTTGGATAAGAGTAGCTTCTCGGAACAAGAAGTTGATCGGTTTCTCAAGGTAGGATTGATCTGTGTGCAGAAAAAATGTGGGCTTCGACCGTACATGTCGACGGCCATTAAAATGATGTGCGACGAGGTCGATATTCAGGATTTGCAGATATCCGATCCTGGACTCATTACCAATATCATGGATGTAAAGATCGGAAATCGACGTTCCCCTTCTTCAAGCTTTACCAAGAAGTTAAGCCATCGGTTACAGCCTTCATAAAAGATTATATACTTTTATTAGAATACATTGATGTTCCTTAGCCTTTTCTTTTTTTTATATATATTGTAAATAACAATTTTGTTGGTGGCAACCAAAATAAACATTGATGTTAAGTTTTACGAGGTTCGAATCAAATTTTGGATTCGAATATCGAGTTTGGAATCAATTTGAGAGTTAGATATTTCAATCATGATAAAAGAAAATAAATAAACTTGAATTCGAATAAATTTAGTGTCTATAACTACAAGTCTAATGATGAACCGTAGGATTTATCGTGAAGAGTATTGGTTAGTTTCTATCAACAACATAATATTATATAATTTGAGCAGCAGGATTCAGGATTTTGTTCTTTTGTGAAAGATTATAAATAGAAGAGAAAACAACACCCAATAAATACTGTTGACACCATTTTTCATCTGACATTTATTTTCATTTATTATTATTATTATTTATTTATTTTTACTATTAATATTATTAATCTTGTATTTTTTTGTTTTATTTTACAGCTCAAAATTCAATGACCCAAATTGGACCTAATTACAAACAACATATCAGCCCAAACCCTAATTAAACCTAACCCTAACCTAAACCCTAAGCCTAAACCATCAACAGTTATGGCCTCCTAGCAAGTGGCAAGATTAAACCCTCGAAAAACAAGGACCGTTGATCCTTCTCCAGCAGATACACCCGAACATCATACTCTTCTCTTGCAGGGGCCAAGATAGCCTTCTCCTCTCACAAAGAGGTGATACAAAGGCTTGACATTCAGGTATGTATATGAGCGGACAAAATGAGGCATCTTTCATATGAGGTTGAAAAGTATATTAGATTACACTTTTGTTGAAGACGTTCAATGATGATCATAATCTTCACAAATGGGATAGTGAAATAGATAAATTTAGTCTAGGTTAGTTGCTTGGGAATTGAACTCTAAAGATGAGATTTTATAACCTTCAACAACACCTAGACTATAACAGGTTTTTCTCGATGATCTTAAGAAATTGAATCCGTATACCCATGAAGTTTATAAAGTATAATCATAAATTAAATGCAATAAAGATGAACTATTCCGTTAAATCAATTGATTGTAAAGGAATCTCAAAAGCCTTGGCTTTATGAATAGAATACATTCAAAATGTGACATCAATTGAAGACTTGGTGATTCGGTGTTTGCTCCACTATGGTTGTCAAGTCGAAGACTTTGTGACAAGGTGAATACTTCAGCTAGCCAAATAAAGGCAAATTAAATGAAATTTAATAAATTCAAGGAAATGACAAAGTTTGAGATTTGAATCAATAATGAGTTTCGGTGAAGATGAACTAAGGGAGTTGAGGGACACCTGTTATAGTCAACTACACACAAACACTTAGGAATTTTGTTTTTAGATTGATATTTCTGCACTGTCTCTTCTAAAGGAGTCTACGAAGCTTGAACAAATGGAAGATTTTATAGAACCGAAATAAATGTATTCTAAAAGTCTAGCAATTGAGTATTTTAGTGATGTCATTTTGTCTGCATCTGATCAAAATGCCAAGCCGAGAATGAGAATCATGTCACAAGGTTCACATGGACAGAGAAAAGAAAGACATTGCAACCATAGAAAATTTAGGAAACCAACCTAAAATCAACCAACCAAATCATGAAACTTGTTAATGAATAATAACTTTGAAAATTGTCAATGAATAATAACTTTGAAAAATTAAAAGAGTAATTGATTCTTTTGATGCTCAGTGAACTCTTTTTTATAATTTGTTTCAATTGTTAACCCAAAGTAAGGGCACCATTTTTTCAAAAACTTCATCAAACATTTTTTTCAAAATTCTTTCATAAAACATTTTCACCTTTTGAAAAACAGAAAGAGGAAGAAAAACATTTTCAAACAAGACAATCTCTCTAAAGTAGATCTTGGCAATTGACAAATGTCTCTCGGACATTGAATCTTATGCTCAGAATCAGGAAGAAAAACCAAATTTTTGGGGTAAAATTTACTAGGGCAAGAAGAACAAATTGACCCAAGTCAAGAATTGCAAAAGATACCCCATCTCAATCAATCAAATTATTTCAAGAAGATTCGATATTCATAAAAAGCCTGATTTTTTGATCAAGTTAGAAAAGATAAATTAAATGCAACAATAAGCAAATTGGTTATCGTGTCTAAGAACCAAATAGTACAAGGACTTGATCACCAATGCCAAATAGTACATGGACTTGGCCACCAAGTTTAAATAATACAGGGACCAAGGCCGCCAAAGTAGGAAAACATGTTACATAAATTTGCATCTTTGCATCAAACATTCATCATCACATACAACATAAAAAGCTTTGCCTTTATTCTTACGAGGATGCTTTTAAAATTTCTCTTGAAATTTTAACTTCTGTAAGACCATTTTCACCACTCTTGAGGAAAATTTAAAAACTCATTTTCTAAAAGATAAAAAATATCATATGAATTTTATTCTAAGATTCTTGAAAACCTTCAAAATAGTTGCATTCATACATGCACATTTTTTACAAGCCTTTCAGGAAAGAAAGGATTGGTGACGACTAGACCTCTTGTTGAACTATATTTTGATATAACAATTTATGGCAAAAAAAATTTGGACTTAAATTGAATTTATTCAAAGTTTTCAAAGTTTCAAAAATAATTCAAAGTCCATTTAACTTGGAATTGAGCACAAAATGTTTTTCTGGACAAGAAGTACCGATAATGTTCTTACAATATCAATACCTCGTGAATAGTATCAATATTGTTCACATGGTATCGATACCAAATGTAAGGGAAGTATCGATACTCTCTAGGTAGTATCGATACTACCAACATTGCTCAAATTCCATAATGTAAAAATGGTATCAATACCCAAAGGGGTATTGATACTATTTTGTATAGTAGTATCGATACCATAGGCTTAGTATCGATACTGTCAGGCCCAACGGCTAGTAACAACTAGTTTTATTTAAAAATAACAAAGTAATACCGGTACTCCTATAGGGAGTATCGAAACCCTCTATACTAGGCAATTTTATTTTACAGAAAAAACATCCCCAACGGCTAAAAACAGCCACAAACCCATTCCAACATATAAATACAAATTCAAGGCACTTTAAGAATGGTTAGAACACCTATCCAAGCAATCAAACCCAATAGAAGAGTTTTTCACTCTTTATTTCTATTCTCTTGTAAATATTTTGTTCTTGTGAGCTTTAAATTTGTAAACACCTTTATTTTTAAAGGTTTTTTTGTTTACATCTTTTTCCTTGTAAAGGGTTTTGGTTCTAGCCGAGCCTTTGAAAAGCTAGAGAGTTGTAAATGTTATCTTTTTATCCTTGAAAAAGGAAGAACAAATTAATGAATTTGTTGGAAAATCCTTAGTGGGGAGCTAATGTAGTGGATAGACTTAGTTGAGAAGTCGAACCACTATAAATCACTGTGCCAATTTTTCTATCTTTTATTCTCCTTACTCCCTAAACAAATTTTTGCCAACACCCCTATTGTGTAATTTTCGGTTGTTAAAATTGAGCTTCAAAAATCTCAACAATTGGTATCAGAACTTAACTCTTTAGAAGGCTTCACATCCTTGAGATGATCCTTGAAGAAGCTCTATCGATTCCCGATGTAACTGACAAAAAGATGGCTTTGACTTCTGGCTCTTACTACATTGAAGACTCACAACAGGTCAATAAATCACCTTACTTCAATGGAGCTAATTAAGCCTATTGGAAGAATATGATAATTCTCTTCATTCAAGCTAATAATCTAGGAGCTTGAAACTCAATCATGAAGGGATACTCTGTTCCACCCGATGAGATGGATGATTGGAGTGATGAAGAGAAAAAGAAGTTTCAACTCAATGCTAAGGCTATGCACATCCTCTTTTGTACATTAGGCCCAGGTGAATATGGAAGAGTCTCATCTTGTTCCAATGCCAATGAGATATGGGAAAAGCTTCAAGTCATTCATGAAGGAACCGATGAAGTGAGGGAAACCATGATAAGTCTTCTCAACCATAGCTACGAGAATTTCAAAATGAAACCTGATGAAGACATCAAAGCTATGAAGGATAGATTTTCCATGATTGTCAACAGTCTCAAGGAATTTGGAGAAGTAATCCCTAATAAGAAGCTTATGAGGAAAATGATCTACTCTCTTCCAAAGTCTTGGCAATCGAAGAAGACGACGATCATTGAGGCTAAAAAACTAAAATCTCTCACTCTTGATGAGTTGATTGGTTCTCTTATCACGCATGAGTTGATGGTAAAGAAGAGAAAGAAGATGAAAAGAAGCAAAATAAGAAAAAGAAAGAGGTAGGAATTGCCTTCAAAATCCACCAATGAAGCAATCAATATTCAAGTGAAGAGGTAGATGAAGATGATGACGATGAAGAAGAGATGACCAAGCTTTTTAAAAGATTCAAAAGATTCATGACTTCCAAGGATGTGAAGCATGAATCAACCAAGAATAAGAGTCCCCCAATGTGCTTCAATTGTCAAAGAATGAGGCATGTCAAGTACGATTGTCCTCTCCTAAAGAAAAAATATCAAGCAAGAAAAAGGTATTTGTGGCAGCTTGGAGTGATGAATATGGCTCCAATGATAAAGATGAAGTAGGCATCATATGCCTCATGGTCATCTAAGAAGATTTAATGGTAACTTCTAACTCAAATGAATTAGATTATTATTCTTTTGATGAGTTACAAGTTGCTTATAATGAGTTGTATTTGGAATTTGAGACCATGAATTCCAAATATAAGAAATTAATTTCAAAACTTAAAGTTGAAAATGATTTGGTTTTGAAAGCAAAATTTGATTTTGAAAAACAAAATAAAATTTTGAAAAATGATTTAGAGCTTTCAAAAGTCAAAATCAATGATTTAGAAAAAGAAAATTTTGATTTGAAAGTTAAGCTTGAGAGCTTAACAAAAGAAAAAAAATTAATTTCTAAAAACAACTCATTATGTTTAAAAATGGAAAAATGCTCACATTGCCATTTTCATGGTCATTTGGAACATACTTATCCTTTAAGGAAATAAAAACGTTTTAAAAT